TATCGGCTCTACCTTAGCATGACAGTCTCTGGTAGATTCATTAAGTTACCGATATTGCTTATTGCTTTCATTGTTTATCTAATTACAGCAATATCACTCTGCCCGATTGAGATTAATCTGGATCGGCCTTACATCTTGTTTAACTCATCGTTTGCTAATCTAAAACTGATCTAATCTACATCTTAAGCGATGAGTTATGTTTTTATCGGCTATTTTGCATCAATTTTGATCGTGCATAGCGTATGGTTAAGTCATGTTCGATCTTGAGTAGATCTAGTAGTTAATGAGAATCGTTCCATGGCCCGTCATCACGGCCTGTGGGATTCTGCCTCTCACCCCACTGTTGGCACCGTGGAGTGGGGATCGTTAGTTGGTAGACCTGTTCCTGAGAAGGCATGACCTTAACTGTGCGCTATGCCTGAATCGGCTGTTTAGCCGATATCAAGTGCTTTCATGAACAGTTCACATTACGAGATCGTTAAAGTAGAGATAAGTTGAAAGATATGTTAGCCCTATGATCTTGTTATTGTATTACGGCCTGCATGATTATGCCTCATGCCCCACTGATATTAGTAATAAGTTAGGGTCGTCGAGTCTATTGTTGTTTCTACGGCCTGCATGATTCTGCCTCATGCCCCACTGGTCATGACGATAGATGAGATCTAACATGTTCATTAAATTTATCTTTATTAAATGGTTAAGTGATGTTGAATTGTTTCTTTATAAAAAGGAGTTCGGTTACTTATAATCATTGGCTCAGTACAAACCGGTCACCGTTGATATCTTATTGCCATTGATTAATATTTGCTTTAATAACATTTATTCTGAATGATAACCGATTCTTCTTATACAACCCCATGAGCTTTAACCGATTCATTCTTGCGAATATGCTGGGATCGACTATTTAGTCGATCTCCTCTCATATCGGCTCTCAAAGCCGCACATTCGGGACTGTCTGGCAATACCAGCACGTTTGCCCTTAATTACTGATGAGCTTTCTCTCTATCAATTGCAGGGTTAAATTGACTGGCACATCTCGGAAGGATTGCACAGGATCGACCACCATTGCGTTGAAGCTAGGTGGATCTGCTCCATCGAGCGGACCCTTCCGGCTTGCTGCGTGTGTACTCGGCACAGAGACGAAAATTTTGTGTCGACAACATTAAACTAAAATCCATAGGCGTCCCCATAGATTTTAGCTTGATAGTATATAATATTTAGTTTACTACTAGTAAACACAACTTCTGGTTTATAACTTCAAGTTACTTCTCTCATTTTTCAAAAATATCTAGCATATGCTTCGTTTCATGCTTCACAAGAGCATTAGTCAAACTATTGTTTGATTTAGTATGTGATATTGTTTCTGCTTCAAGCTTCGAGGAATATTTTGTTTAGATCATTTTTCTTCTGTGGAAATAATATTTGGCATTCAAAATAGGCTTTCTCTCCTCCTAATACCAATATTAGATCTTTAATAGCATACTTCAAAAGATATCCACTATCATGGGCTTACAATAATCAAATTTATGCATCTCCAACTACAAGCAGAGGCCCATTCATGTATACTATGATGAAATTTTATGGGAAATATTCACGCACATATTTAAACACGGGAGGTTAGTATTCATTAAATGCAACGAGCTAGAATACATAAAGTGCACTAAAGAATGTTTATCATTCCTACAAACTCAGGGATGTTCTGCCCCTAATTTGCACATATCATAGTTTAATAAACAATTTTATTGTCTAGCTTCTTCATTGTTTAGCCAAAAAAATTGATTCAATTAATCATACATAATTAAAAAATAGATCATATACTTCAAATGTATAAATGCACAACATACAAAATTACATGGAATTTTTTCTATAATTTTCTAACAAAATGTCTTTTCTTCATAAATCCTAAATCATCATTAAGTGTTTTATCTATTAACTCAATTTCCACTATAATTCAGCCCATTCAAATGCAATGTATGCGAATTTCAGATTAGCCCTTTTAGATTAACCAACTCCCCATAATCTTAGGCTACTTGGCCATAGACCAATCTATTGCTTATGCATGTGATGCATTGAAAGCAAAATATTTCTAAGTTCAACGAGAACTATATAGACATAGCATGCTAGCCAGACCATTTTAATTACGAGGAAGTGCAAGGTAGCTACTAGTTACAAATGTAGCCGCTATGCTAATATCCATGCAGGAGTGGAGATAGTTGCAGCTTGACGAGAGCACAGCATAATGATACACAATCATGTGTAATGTGGAATGTTGATATTCAATGCAACGTAATAGATAACAACAAAATGCAAAGCTACAAGCTTACTTGCAATTAGTGCAATGTAGAGAAAGTTAATTCAGCCAAAAGGGACGTGACTAGAACTTCAAGTCCTTATACATGCACTTAAAGATAGATTTAGAAAGGCTATGCCTATTAAATATTTATTACCCACATTTTCTCATGCCTTTATCCAAGTTCCTCCCCCCTTTTCGTGCCATAACTATTTCAAGTAGTAATATGCTTCATGCATTATCTATGAATAATCATTTTTAATGTTCCATAGAATCCAATCATACTTCTATATTATTCATTGGTTCTAACATGAAATTCACATATCAAATGTTCCATTCATGTACAACAACATATTCAGGGTAGGACATAGACTTCTAGCTTTTGGGCTATTAAAACTTAGTTTTAGGATTATACTATTTCTTGGCAAAATTGATCCTTCCAAGATCAGTTAATATGCCAGTATAGTCCAATTGTTCATGTACTTCTAGAAAATCCATTTTCCCTTCTACCTACGTGGTAGTAGCAGCATAAAGAACTATAACCTTCATGGTTAATTGATGCTTCTTAGTGGATAAAATCATTGCAAAAGTTATTTAGATAGGCAAAAATAGGCAATTGTTTATATGCAAAATATATAAATCTATAATTCATTTCATTCAAGATTAACACATATTACTACAAGTAAAAATTGCAACTAAGAATATGAAATGCTTCATATTAGCCTTTAAGTTGATAAATTAACCATTTACTCTTCTTTGAGTCAGAACCACTTAATTCAACGGGAACTAAAACTTAAAGCACCACCACCACTACCAACGCTTCAGGATATAGTAGTTTTAAAGATAAAACAAATCTTTAAGCACATGATTTAAGTTCCTCTAGAGAAACCTTAAAAATTTTATCCATTCTTACATGTATTAGTTTCTATGCTTGACATTTAGCAGCTTCATGCATGCTTTATTTCATAGTGGTGATATGTAATCATGATCCTTCTAGGAGTGCAACATTTGTAAGTCATATATCCTGGTTCATAGAGCTGTCTAAAAATTCTAACTCAACTTCTATTTGAGTAATTTCTGATGATAAATTTAAATACTTCATGTATTACATTGCTCTTTGATATTCTATATATAGAGACATTTCTTCGAGAATATTCATCGATAAAATCATATTTACCATCTTGTCTTCTATGACATTTAATACAAAGCTTCAAGCCATTGTATTTGTTTATAGAGCAGCTTATATATCTCATATGGTCATGTAAGCTTGAAAATTCAATTTTCAATAATATAGGATATCTTCTAAAATTTCTCATACGGTGAGTCCCAAAAGACCTTTGAGATTTATTATGGCCACATACTCATTCTTGAGAGTAATACCAGGAACTATAGTGCCTGAGTCTACTCCACTTAAGTGGTAGTAGAATATCCACTTGGATTTAATAATGACCATGCTATATAATTCTATCATTCAAGACAGGTCCAGGATATTCCTTCTTCATGAAGATATGCATATATATCATAACTGGAATCATCATGTGCGTATAAGTTTACTGCGTGTAAACAAGTAGCAAGGTGCAAAAAGATAATGGATATGGTTATACAGAATATTCTTAGAAGCATCGTAGAATTTTTTAGGATTATGGTATATACAAATTTTTAAAATTAATACTAAACATTTGTTCATCCAAAAGTTCATTATGCTAGGAAAAACAAACATGAACATATCAAAGGTGAGAAGTCTAAGGTCTGCAGGATTTTGAGAGCCCATATATACCTTGTACCATGTTTCTAGTGTAATCATTCAAGATTTTATTCTTGTAGTTGCATGGTATATTCATATCGGGGTTGCACTAGAATTTTTCAGAATTAAATTCAAAGCATAGAAATTTTTAATATATTCTACTATTTAATTCAGAAAAATAAAGTTAGAAACAACACCCATTAAACTTCAGATTTAATGTGTATATATGCACGCTCTTATACGTATGGGTATAAGAAATACGGTAAATATACCTAAACAGAGGGCCTAGGGTTAATTACTTAGAAAATTGTTGTAAAATCTGAATTTCACAAGGGATTATATTTGAACTGATTCCACAATTCCCAGAAAGTAGAGGACTGGCTCAACACGAGTCCAAGTCTGATACTTTTATTTCTTCATGAAACATAAGCTTATTTATTGAATTTCATATTAATATAAGCTTTTCTTATTTTATTCTGTATTTTTCCCAATTTCTCATGCGCAGCCGCATGCCCCAAAGTGGCTCGTTCGACCAGTCTTCGGGGCATGGTTGGGCGATGAGCGATGAACGAGTAGCTGTTGAGTTGTGATCCAAATTCAGTTATGTACAAGATAAAGGCTAATTTCTACCGGAGCAAAGCGAGGCCCGTCGCCGGGAGGCTTGGGCCGAAGCGAGGCCCCCCCGCGGTACCGATCGTCACCTATTAGGGTTTTCGATCTATATATACTTTATGTAAGCCGTCGTCTTGGGATAAAAAAGTTGTAAATCCCCGACGTTTGTAACCTCATCCGATATAGTGAAGATTTGCTGGCTGGTGCCCGTGGTTTGTTCCCTTCCACCTTGGGAGGGTTTTCCACGTTAAAATCTTGTGTTCCCTGTGCTTGATCTACTGTTCTTTGTCGTTTATATTGTCTATCATTTATAACAAGTGGTACTAGAGCTTGGTTTGACCTTAGGGTTTCACGATGGCATCGATGAAGTTTGATCTACCGCTGCTGGATTACAAGACGAGATTTGCACTATGGCAAGTCAAGATGCGGGCGATTCTGGCACAATCTTCGGATCTTGATGAGGCATTGGACGGTTTCGGAGGAAAAGGGCAGAAGTCATGGACCACTGAAGAGAAGCGGAAGGATCGTAAGGCTCTGTCTCTGATTCAACTTCATCTACATAATGATATTTTGCAAGAAGTGCTGCAGGAGAAAACTGCCGAAGAACTTTGGCTCAAGCTAGAATCGATCTGTATGTCCAAGGATCTAACCAGTAAGATGCATGTGAAGATGAAGTTGTTCACGCATAAGCTGCAAGAAGGTGGTTCGGTGATGAACCACTTATCGATCTTTAAGGAGATCGTTGCCGATCTAGTGTCGATGGAGGTAAAATATGATGATGAAGATTTAGCTCTTCTACTGTTATGCTCACTGCCTACTTCGTTTGCAAATTTCTGAGTTACCATACTATTAAGCCATGATGAACTAACCCTTGCGGAAGTATATAAGGCCCTCCAGACAAGGGAGAAGATGAAAGGTATGGTTCAGTCTGATGTATCATCCTCCAAGGGCGAAGTGTTGCAGGTTAGAGGTAGGCCCGAGCAAAAAACCTACAACAACAACAATAATCGAGACAAGAGCAAGAACGGTAAAGGTCGTTCGAAGTCCAGAGAGCAGGGATAAGTTCTACAGGTATTGTAAGAAAGATACTCATGTCATTGAGGATTGTTGGAAGCTGAGAATAAGGAGAAAAGAAACGGTACGTATAAACTAAAAAATAAATTCGATGGTGATGGTAAGGCCTCTGTTGTCTCCGTTGTTGATAATTCTGATTTAGGAGATGTTCTGGTTGTTTTTGCTGGTTGTGTTGCTGGTCGTGATGAATGGATACTTGATTCTGCATGCTCGTTTCATATATACTCTAATAGAGATTGGTTCAGTTCTTACAAGTCTATGCAGAGTGGAGATGTCCGTGCGTATGGGAGATAACAACCCACGTGAGATCGTGAGCATTGGCTCCGTTCAGATCAAGATGCATGATGGTATGATACGCACACTGAAAGATGTGAGACACATACCAGGGATGGCCAGAAATCTCATCTCCCTCAACACACTTGATGCCGAGTGAAACATCCTCAATTTTCCTTGAAGGGAAAATTTACATAATGAATTCTAATATGATAAAACCAAGAACTGATTCCATCATATTATCATATTTCAGTCGATGTCACAGTCATACATCGTAAGATTACAAGAATACAAGATATTACATCACTGGGGAACACACCTATTACAGAGCTAATCTAGCGGAAGGCTATCGAGTGAAGGCTCCTCCTTCACGGGCATCATCAGAGTTGGCGTAGTGCAGCGTAGATTCCATCTCCGAACCAAACTTGAGCGTAGGCACGAGACCTCCTAATCCTTCTAAAGTCAGTATCTCTGAGAAGCAAGAAATCTACACACCGCCAGATGTGTGCAGGCCATGATCAGCACCGATGAGCTTTAGTAGAAAAGATAAACAAGGGATCTGGCGATCCTAATATTTGGTTGTGGTTTGCATCCTTAGCACATGAGAAGTAAATAGCATTAGTAATATAGTAATAATATCCAGTTTTTAACCCATTCACCACCACACCATCCATATCCATCCACCAACCATCCATCCCAAACCATCTCCACACCACCACACCATATCTCATCTCACACACTTAGGTCGATAGGCCAACTCCCTCTCGGCCTTGTCTCAACGGCCCGTAGCCCCCAAGGCTCACGACCGGAAAATACCCTAACCCTAGAGGGAGGATAGAAGGACTCATCTCCTATCTAGTTTAAGCAAAACCCAGGAAAGGTCCATAGCCGACAAGTCGGCATATGTATCGATCGATCAACTATACACTCTGCAGAGGTTTTACATGCCCACAAGATTAGCCATCCTTGGAGTCTAGAATCTCCTAGGCAGAATTCCGGTCGCTTGCTAGCCTAGAATGATGCCACCCTACCTCTTAGCCCTAGAACATCCCAAGTCTAGTCTGGGATGGCTGATACTGTGAGTCGTAGACAGAGCCGGGGCCCTCCGGATGTCAAAAGCCAGGTCCACAAGGCCTCCTAAAGTCTCGGAAGGGTGTGGGGGAAAACCACGCACCCCGTACCTCCTTGCACACGTTCGCCTAGCAGTAGTGGCATCGCTCTACCAAGTAGTCCGACCGTCCCGCACCATATAGGGCGAGTGGGATGTAAAGGATTCCCGGTGAATCTGAGTACTAGTAAGTCCTTAGGGATGACCAAGCCAGAATGTCTTCATCAGGGTTTCCATTTTACATGCCACCACAGCACCTCTACCCCGGGCTCCACCTCTCCGAGGTTCACACCCAAGGCCACCTCCAATTACCATTTACCCGCCATAGGTATTCCATATCCAAGTGCCCAGGTAGCACCACATGGCAAGACTCGCCCCAGACTCGTCGTTATTCCAGCTCGGTTGACACAACCCTCACTCTCCACGCACCCAAGACACACGCAGCACGCTCACACACCACCAAGTCCGGCACCCATAGCCAAACCATTCCCAGGGGGTTCACCACCAGCATCACATCCCCGATATAATGCGAAGTGGAGTTAATATTAAGTATAGTGGGGTAATATGCAAGCAAGCGGACAAGTAAGCATATTTAAGCGAAAGAATGCGCAAAGCAGGGTGACGTGGTAGAGTGGGTTGCATCAGGGTAATAATGGCTCAGGTAGTAGCATGCATCAAAGTACTAGCAAAGGAATAATTATAAACCACTAGTAGTTCTAGATATTATGCAATGTCTAATAGGATTCTCTAAAAGAGAGTGCTGCCACGACACCTACGATGTAGAGGTAGTAGTGGTTCAATTCTCCATTCGTTGGTGTTCCATTAGCGGGGTCACCTCCTCCTGTGTTGACTCCATTCTGCAGTCCTTGTCGTCGTCCTCGTTCTCTTGGTCCAATCGTCAGCTACTCCGCGAAGCGACACGCAAGGCAAGAGAACACTCAACACTCAAAAAGACGACAAGACGCAGGAAAATCCAATAACACCAGCGAGGCAATAAGAGATACACGGCTTAGCCCTCTTGGCGGTTGTCCTATTTCCTCGGGCCAAAGAATCGCAAGTGGTGGTTTGCTAAGCACAAGCTTAAGTCATGGCCAAGCCAGTATGGCTTTAGGATAGATAGTTTAAGCCAAAGCTTATCCATAGCAAACACCACGGCTCACGATCTTTCGATCCGGTGTCATTGGGTTGACGGGGATTGGAAATCGGGCCCCAAGAAAGAAGAACGACGGGGTTTGACTCTTATAGCCTTATCCCGCAAGTCACCATTGGACACGAGTAGTAGACAAGAATGATTATCACTATTGTAACTTGGCTCCAATGTACTTGGCTCGCTCGCTATGGTAGAAAGCGGTAGCGCAAAGAGATTGGACATCAACGTTTCCCCTCGATCCACATGACACAATAACATCGGGAGCCGAGAAGAGAGTCGCTCAACATGGCAAAAGATGCAGGGGTTAGCTAGGCACATCCATGTCATGTTCTCAGACACATCTTCGAGAAAGATGGTTTTAGACGGTCGATCGGGTCGGCACGCATGGGTCCGAGGTACGACATAGACCATAGCTTCGCTAACCCAAAGGGAATAGTCCGGCCTTTGATCCAATCATCATGGGCAAGATGGAATCGAACAAAGCGGGCTAACGGTGCAACAAGAGCAAGAACAACAAGGGACAAGGTCTACTTCTTCCATCACTCGTGCTACGACGAAAGACGGGGCATTGGAAGGAAGCGACAAACACCAAGTATGCAAACCACTAGTAGGGTACCCGGCTTAGGTGCACTAGCACTAAGACATCTCTCTAATTCATAGCGGTGCGATTGTCACCGCGGGAATCAAAGAGATGCGATGGTCATATAGGGTACAAGCATATGGGGGTTTGAGCACGAAGAGGCAAGTAAAAGCAAAAGAGTGGCGTAGCTCCATGGTCATGGCGAGGCGAACTCACGGCCACAAGCTACACTAATGAGTTGGCATCCATCGTTCCATGATTGTTATCTCCTAGGTCATCTCCCATAGGACTTGGTCATGGAGGGCTCAAAGCGTGCGGGTGATATCCGCATCGATGTTAGTATCGACATCGAATCCATCACGACCATGTTCTAGGGCCGAAGATAGGTGCTAACACTTGTGGTACTATGAAGTCAACTAAAAAGCGAGGGGTCGAGTTACACTCGGCATCACGGTCATGGCGAGACGGATCCCGCGATCGTAACGTCCGAACGAGGTACAATCCCTCAGCCGGCTCGAAGGCTCGGCACACAGGCAACAACACCAACAACCAGCGATAAGAACCAAACACGACCGAAGGACGCAACAACTCGACACGACTATGGAGTAGCACATTCCATAGCTGGGTGATGGATAGATCCTTTGTTCCGTTGCCACCTGCTCAGTTTACGCTATGTCAACTTTGTCTAGCGAGTCCTCCTCTAGAGATGGCTGTGAATTCAAGGATGGCTAGGGAACATGATAGGCACAAGGTGGCTTAGGTCATGGCTAGGGTGCCATGGTGGAATTCGGTTCAGCCTGGATCATACGATTGGTGGTGACTTGGACTCTCATGGGTTGAACATGTTGATGTTGTGTTGAGTTAGAATTGGGTATCCAGGAGGTCAACAAGTGGAGGTCCACCTATGTCATTGCTTGGTTTAGGTAGGTCCTGGTATTACCATGTTCTAAGCCAAAGGCAGGTTACACAGCTATAGGATGGGGATTCACTCGGTCGTGCTGTGGCTGAGTCATGGTGGTGCACACGCAGGGTTTGAGCGAAGCTGGAACACGACTGTATACATGCCTCCCAAGTGAGAACACGGCTGTATACATGGCTCCCAAGTGAGAAAGCGAGGGTCGGTCAGCATAGGTTAGCGAGGGCGGCCTAAGTAACGTGGATGTCCTTCGAGAGTTTGGTCACTACCATGGCTAGGATGTTGTGTCCTCGGAGCACGCATGTACGTTACGGTTGTGACACCCATAGCCATTTAACAAGGGTCGTGCTAAGCTGATGTCGGCGGTGTGGCATGTCAAGCAGTGTCGCAGGCTACGTGAGTTCAAGTGAAGTGTGCACGAGTGCAGGTGATCGCGGTCATGGGTGACCGGCGGTGGTGCTCCGAGGCTCGCATGGCATCGTTGGTGTGCGTGTCCACGCATGTGGCCACGTGGCAAGGCTGAGCGGCTGCGGTGGCTTGCTGTCGACACCGCAAGGCCTGGAAGGTGTGGGGATGGCTCGAGTGAGCAGCTTGCGACCGTGCCCAGTGGTGCTTGACCGAAGAGCCTGAGGGCATGGACACTGTGCGCGCTTGGCTCGCCGTGACACTGCTTGGTGCATGAGCGCCAGCGTGGCCAAGGTCGGGCTTTGGGTCATTGTGTGCGTGCGTCCGAGCG